GGGAGGGCAGCGAGATAATATTTTGCTTTGGAAAAGGTATTTCCCTTTTCCTTGTTCCTGACCTGGGAGAAAGTCCCTAATTTTGATTATTTTTAACCCTTTCCTTTAAGCTCACGGTATTCGGCAGAACATGTTGAAGGGGAGTGGGAGGGTTTATTTTCGCTCTCGATAAAGGTTCAAAAAAAGTCGCAATTTTTCAGGAAAGGCACCGAAATGCTACGTCTTAGATAAAGTGGGTTGCAACATTAGAAAGGAGGAAAGGATAGAGCTAGAACGTGCGGTCCTTGAAAAGGCTTTTGAGAAAGATCCACAGCTGGGGAAAGACGGATCGTACTGACTATAAGGGCTCCTGACTCTGTACTTTGTTTCCGTCATCAGCCGTATCTAGGCGCATCCACCTTTGCGAATGCGTAGACCTTAGCGTAGACCTCCTTCATTCGCGAGCTTTTTGAGAGCTCCCTCGCCTGAGTGTCCTGTGAATTTCTCTTTTTCTTTTTCCTGGCCTGGAGAAAATCCCTAATTTTGATTATTTCCGGCCCTTACCTTTAAGATGGTTTGTTGATGGTGCACATCGCACCCACAGTTTCAATTTTTGATCCGATTACAGCGTTCCTGGTCTTGCGGAATGTGTCTTCCATAAGCGGAAAAGCTTTTTGCAGTAAAACTATCGAAATTTACGTGAAATTTGTGAAGATGAAAAGTCCGAGGAGTTAAGCAAATAATTCGAACAATAGTTGATAGTCTGGAACTCGACTAAATCAGTTTCAGAACTGATATGTTAAGACGGTAACACCATATAGTGAACAATACTGAACCGAAATTGCTACGGCAGTGTCTGCCCGAGTTCCGGGTTCTTTCTATTAGCGGTGAGGATCACGTCCACCACACTAGTAACCACACTAAAATCGATAAAATATTAGGAATCGATTATTCGGTGAACGGTTCCTGCTACCGATTCAGTGATGCCCACTGGCTTCAGTGACCTTCGTAAAATCCTCAACTTTTGCAAGTCCGATGCTTCCAATTTTGCGAACTAAGCTGCTTATTAAAGTAAACTGGCTAAAAACGATTCGAATGCAAAATTCCTTCCCAAATTTTTTGGAGTGCGACTTTCTGAAATAACCTTACTCGAGAAAATATCACTTCAATAAACAAAATGCTGGCTGGGGAAAAGCCCTAGGTTAGGCTCACTCGTGCAACAGTAACGTTAATCAATCAATATATCGATTTTCAGGACCACTCACGAGAGTATGGATGTACACTTTGTACAGTTGCGTAGCCTTATGGAGGCACGTGGAGCGGAGGCCATTGTCAGGGTGAGAAAGACCATTCCAAGCTTTTCCTTAAATAACTCAAAAATAATATTTTCTTGAGTTTTGTTTTTTATCTTGCATTTTTTTCGATTTTAATCTATCTATTTTATCTATTTTATCTAATACATTTTTTTGCTTTTTTGAATGTTATTTCAAGTATATCAAAAAGTACTTGATTCCGTTCTCATAAAATATATCATTTTATCAAAGAAAGCACATAGAAACTTTTTTTTGAGATTGTTCTTATCAAAAGCTCTTCCTTGCAGAATTCGGACCAAAAATCAATTTCTCTTTTGATATTTGTACTTTTTATCTTGCCGCCAATATAATTTCATTGTTTCACCTACAATACCATTCTATAGTTGTCTGTTTTTTATACTACTAATTTATCTGTACCGTTTAACTAAATGCAGATCATACATATAACTTGTCTATTATTTGGAATGCTTAGCTGAATAGTAATGGATCTTTTCTGTTCCGTTGAGAGCTTATTGCTATTTCGTTTTTTAAACCGGTTTTGTCTTTTGCGACAAAGAATATTGATCTTCTAGACTGAGTTTTTTTCCACTTGTAAAAATTACAGTAAAAAATTGACTGCTGTTGACATTCATAAATTCTGCGCTTGACGTTGATTTCTAAATTTACCGCATAGATAGCCACACCCAACGCCAGCGTACACTTCAGCGGGGGAGGGGTACCTATCCATATTCCCACATGGGTACTGCGAATGATTGGTTCGGTGGCTGAAGGTGTCGGTATGCGTTGAAAGGAACAGTGGGTTCGATCCCTGCCTAAGAAATTGCAATCTTTCCACTTAGCTGGTATCTCATTCGATGGAGTCAAAATTCGAGTAAAGTAAATACAAAAACTACGATAGCAAGCTTCAAATTGACCTATATCCGTAATCGATTGGATGCGCCATGCGCTCGACCTTCACTCGGAATTGTGAATGTATAAATGCGCATTCCGCTTTTACAAGACTTTTGTGATTCACCCGCAGACCTAGTCAGTCACGCTCCTTCAAGAGAGTTTCTTCGCACGGTATCAGGGTCGCTCGATGGAAGGCTTGTCGGAGTGGGCTCCCAGGCGGGTAATATGGAAACTGTCCTTAGGACGGCAGTTTTTTCCTAGAGGTGTTTTGTTCGTTGTCAAGCATCCCTACGTGCTCTAATACCATTCTTGTTTGTATCTGTTATCATTCATTTGCGCTTGTCCTTATCCTACGAAACGACGTTGAAAAGTTCCAAGTTCCTGGTCGAATTGAAGGAGACGGCCGTGCACGGTCGCTCTCGGTGCCTGTGCGCATATTACCGTCGATAGGCACACGTTGTCAAATCGTTTGCATTGCTATTATTGGCTATATTCTTAGTTGCAAATTGTAATGGTAAATGGTCGTGTAAAATATTTAATCATCAAAATATTCCTGACGTGATTCAAAGAATTGAATGCCTAGTCGTAAAATTGGCTTTTGAAGTCGAATGAAATATCGGTCACGCTTCTACTTCCTATTTCTCACCAATTTGGTGTCTACGGGGAAAAGGTCGCCTCAGCCATCTTCACTCCCCCCAATCTTTAGAACTCCTCAGGCTGGAAGTGGTTCGCCTGGAATAATTCCCTCAAAGAAGCTCATGAGCCTTACATACGTCTAGAGTGTGTCGCTAAGGTCACTGCGCGGTCGTCGCGCAGTGCCACCGTTTAACACATCCGTTTGAAGTTTTTTCACTGGCTGCTTAATCGAACCCTGCTGGCAGCTTTGAGGCGGACACGTTGAAGGTACACACCACTATGTTCCTCAATGTGGGCAAGTCGGCTAACCTTATCAACAGGTATACCACGTGGGAGTCCCCGGTAAACCTATGTGAAATTTATACCTTTTGATCAGCTGTCCTGTCTGACGCAAAATGCGACATCCATGGCGAGAAGCGCGACTGCTCCTATTGAGTCTGTCGATCGAAAAGCTGCAGTAGATGTTGTCTGCACGGGATATACTAAAGGAAATTTCTAGTTCGTCGCTGAACAGCGAGATTTATCTACACGGGCCACTGCGTTCGGGGCTTTGGGGGAGGGGGGGGGGGGTGCGGGGGGTTTGTTGGCGCGTTGGGGTGCTGGGGATAAGAGGGGGAAGGAGTGACCCAGGGCACAGAAGCTTCATTTCATGAAACTAGAAGAACGGTAGACTTCTACAAACAGCTATATCTCTCTGTGAAAGCTTTTGGGTGATATACCGTTAAAATTTCAGAAATGTTTTGAAGTAAATATCAATGCAAAATCTGATACGAGCTCTGTTACTTGGCCTCGGCAAAGGTGTTCTGTTCTTTTTAAGTTTCGCGCATATTTCAGCATTTGGTCGAATATCCGAAAGGGGGGGGCGATTGAGATGTATAATTTTCAATCCAAACCGCTGAGGCTGACCAAAATGTTGGAAAAGGTCTACCGGTAGCCAGACGATGCTGCTGTGATTCAGTACAGATCGCAGTGCCTTTGTCAGTGGATTGAAGTCTTAATCGAGAAGCGATAAAGCGTATGTAATTGCAAGAAATGGCTGCCCCGATACCGTATGGTAACTGGTCCGCAAGAGCGGAAGTGGTGCAGTGGCAAGTAGCGCGCTCACCACGCGAGCGGTCCGGGATCAAATCCTGGGTCGTGAGTCGCCCGGGCCAACCAAGCCTTCCATCCCTCCGGGGTCGGTTAATTGGTACCAGACTTGTCTGGGAGGATAAAAACACTGACTTGTACATCGGCTGGCCCCCGCAAGTCATTGTATAGGCCACATCGCATTCAAACGCCACTACGAATGTACAAATGGAAGTAGAATGCGTGCCGCATCCCAAAAAGGGATTGTAACGGCAAATGCTTCTACTAGCTATTATGCCTTTTAATAGTCTACAAGTGATAGGTATTGAAGCCAACCGTGCGAGTTCAAGGAAAGTTACAAGAAGGGTCACCTTATGACCTCAGAAGTGGCCAAAATACGTCCCACTCAACACACGGAAGTGGATGGCTTGTGACGAAATGTTCTTCTTCTTTATTCTGGGACAGCGTGCGATAATAATTCGGCCGCGGAGTTATACGTGGGAGTGCCGATAAACAGTGGTGAATTTTACATTGATCAGCTGTCATGTTGACGAAAAATGTGACATCATGGCGAGAACGCGACTGGCTCCTATGAGTCTGGCGATCAAAGCTCATAGAATGTGGAGAAAGATTTCACGGAAGACATGAAGCACAAAGGGAATTTCAGTTTGTGCTACAGCATATTATCAGACGTGACCAAGGGCACAGAAGCTGCCATTTTTGTGAAATTGGAGGATCGGTAGGGTTCCGCTAAAACCAGCTCAATCTCCATATATACTATTAGGCTATGCTGAGTTCGTGCTCAAGAAGTTGCAAGACTGGGGCACTAAGGCCCCAGGAGCGCATGCACTTCCACACAGTATTCGTCGGTCCCAGGAATCTGTGCAGATATTAATTGTAAAAAGAAGCGTTGTTTGGGATAATGTGGCGAATTCTTTTGTTTCTCCTGTACAGCGTAAAATTCGCGGGTCTGGGTCAGCATTCTAATACGGTGCAGGAATAGCTCTGGTTGATAAGGATTTGAAGGCTAATAAATTTACAGGACTCGATCTGCTCAACTCTACCCTCTTTCTGAACGCGACCACCATAACACCGCCACCCAGCGAAGGACACGGAACGGCTTGGATTGAAGGTGTCGCGATTTTGCTCTGTGTTGTTGTCGTTGTTCTGGTCACAGCTGGTAACGACTACTCCAAGGAGAGACAATTTCGAAGCCTTCAGGTGAACAAAGCTGCGCTCAGTAGCTACCATAGAGCTCAATGTTGGGGGGCTACCTTTTGACTTAGCTGTGAATTTCACTGACAAATTTTGGTCATTCAGGAGAAAATCGAAACCGGTCAGAAATTCTCAGTGATCCGTGACGGCGAAGCTATCGACGTGCCAGTGTCAGACCTGGTGGTTGGTGACATCGCCCGGGTGAAGTATGGAGATCTCCTGCCGGCCGACGGCTTCCTTCTTCAAGGGAACGACCTCAAGGTGAGGCCTGCACGATCTCTTTGAGTAATGTGCCTAGCACCATTCGATCAGGCTCCAGTATAAAGCAATCTACAGTAGATAAAAAGGATGGAAAGAGTTGGAGCAGCAAAAAGTGCACAGATACCGTCGCATTATAATGCCTCGTTACCATAAATTTGGGTAGAAAAAACTCTAAAGGGTAATGTAGCCCGCGTTAATCAATCCTTCCCTAGGATATTTCTTACTTGACGGACACTTAGACATTAACAATGGGTCGCGTCGGAAGGAAATCCAGTCGAAGTTCCAGTTCCGGAGACGAGTCTAGGCCCAACTAATCGAATTCAGATCAGTGGACGGCTTGAATGGCTTCCCTGAAATTCGACCCTGGATTTAGCACCGGATTGCGTGCTTGATAGGCGGAGCCACTCATCCCTCCTCGTTTTCGCCCTTAAATGAGTTTTTGAAGGTCTCTAGGCTGACGTCTTTACCAAAGAGCACGACGAATAAAATCTGTTCAGTTCGCTTATCCCACTATTGTGTAAGCAATCTGTGCCGCCCTAGATTAATCCATACTTTTCCGGACTAATGGTAGCTGGGACGTCTCTTAGTTGAAAATTGCTCTTGAATCTCTATTAAGGTAATGGAGTTTCCCTGCCTAGCTATCTCTTCCCTCAACCCTGCCCACTCAAATGCAACATTAATCTGTCACCAGCACATTCTCTCTTGCAATGAGAAAGACATTGAGGGGATAAAAACCTGCACATACTCTCGGTTTTTCAACTGGAATTCCTTTTCAAACTCTTATTAAGGCTTTGTGGGATTCGTGACATTAGCTCCTTTCTAGATTGATGAGTCATCGCTCACCGGAGAATCGGATCACATCAAAAAGACTGTGGAATCGGATCCTGTATTATTGTCAGGTGCGTAGCTGACAAAAACCGTGAAAAGAACCACCAATACTTCCCAATTTCACTTCCAGGTACTTACGCTATGGAAGGCTCGGGTAAAATGGTATTGACCGCGGTCGGTGTGAACTCACAGACCGGTATCATCATGACGCTTCTCGGCTCCGGTAAACCTGGTGTTGCTGGTGCCGACGAAAATTCCACATCAAGTTCGTGCTTCAGAGTTTTGCCTAGGCAGGATCGGCATCACTTCCTTCTGCCCATAATATACAACTGTAAACTTCCTATTGTACCATATCCTTCTCAAAAGTACACTTCAGCTTCATCGAGCTCGTCCAGCTCCTCATCAAGTTCTGATAAGAGCTCCTCGTCCAATTCATCCAACTCAACTGACGATGACGATCTTTCGGCAAAATCCGTACTTCAGTCGAAACTTTCTCAAGCCCTTGGCAGTGAGCCAAGTGGATTCATGGGGAGCCATGTACTCTTTTTGTCGAAGCCTTCAGCGTTTCCTTATGCTTCTGTCCGCACAATTGACTAGCTGGTGACTCAAACCTTTTTTTTTCGCATTATTTCATGTTTTGCTAACGTCAACGGTTTTTTTGTTTTCTTAAGTGTTTTGTGGCATTTATTTTGGTAACGACACCGATTTTTCTGAGTATCGTCTGAATTTGAACTTTTTTGGACTATGCAATGAAGAAACAAAATCAATGATGGATTTGAGCTCGATTTTTTTCAGGAACAACAGTCGCTGGCATCGCCTTGATCGTATTGATCACAAGATTTTGTATCGAGCACTACGTTCGCGATGGAATCCCATTCAGCATTGCAGACATACCAGGTGGGCTCTTTTTTGGGAACTTGAAAAAGCAAGTCGAATATCCTTTTTTGGCGTGATTCCATGAGGACTAAAAAATGTGGAGGCAAACATAGGGGTCAGCATAACCCTCCTCAAGGGACATACGCGTAGGATGTCCTCCTTCTCTCCTCTGTTATCATCTTTGGTGATTCTACCTCCAACCTACCCTTTCATGCGTCCCAAGATCCACTGCTCCATTTTTACCAAATACGCCCTTTCTTTCAGAGATCAGAAGTGCTGTTTCTTTTGCTGAAAAAAAAACCTTGCGAGCGGTTTACCTTGTCCCTAATTGAGAGACCAAGATAGCCCAAAGCAATACTATGAAAACCAATACTTCTTAGCAGCAAGTGTTACTCCATCAATGGGATTAGAATAAAAAGCATGCTGGTTTGCTCGAAAGATAAAGTCATACAAAAGGAAAACGAGATTTCTGAGTTTAGAGGTGAAAAATTACCACATTCTGAGAACTAAATATTCAAAAATTTCCAGATGTTCGTCAAATTCTTCATCATAGCCGTTACGATCCTGGTGATATCGATTCCTGAAGGGCTTCCATTGGCTATCGCTTTGGCATTAACGTACTCTGTGAAAAAGGTTAGGCACTTTAACGCACAAAATCCTTGAAAAAATTCCAATGAGCTCTAAATTGATTGTTATTGAATAGCAATGTTTAAGTTTTGTAGATGATGCACGACAATAATCTCGTACGTCATCTTGGACGCATGTGAGACGATGGGTAATGCGACTTCGATCTGCTCGGACAAGACTGGAACTCTGACCACAAATCGGATGACTGTCGTCGATTCTTATATCAATGGTAGATTAATTTCTTGCTTGATGAGAGGGTAATCCAACGAAAAGGGGTAAGGAGTTCAAACATCACGTGACCTCGTTAAAAACGCGCACTTCTACAAGTGATGCCTTGAAGGAACCCTATTAGAGCTCACCAAAGTCCTCATCGAGTTTGGCTTTTTTTATTGCGAGAGTAGCTGAACAAAGCACCAACTATTGCATTGGTACTTCTGTGATCAAAATTATGTTTATGTGCTCTCAGATTCTGAAAGGATGTCAAATGCATGGCGCAATGTATCATAAGAAAGTTTGGTCTTGCCAAGTG